TTGTCTTTGCAAAATAATAACAGACTATAATAATAATAACATCTGACTGACTGCATGAGGAGACAATGAGGAAGGGTGTTTCTGTAATTTACAGAATCCCATACCAAACCAGTTGTCACTCGGGTCAACAAAAGCCAAGCTGGGTGCTGGAATTCCTAGACATCTGGTGTCAAGGGAGCTACAGGATTCTATAGGGTTGGCTGAGTAACTAGTGCTGGCAGCTGCAGAACTACTGGAAGAAGGGTTGTTTACCAATCACAAATATAAAAAGACTGAAAACAAAGAGAAAAAAATAAGGTTGAGTGAGCTAAAAGGATAAATTTTGGAGAAACTCTCATTTTTATATCAGGATCCTAAAAAAATGGAGTTTTGGATAATTTAACTTGCATTTTGATGGCCAGCATTAGAGGAAAAAGTAGTTGAGTTTTAGATAACTCTCAACCTATAAATATCACCCAAAAATTGATATGAAAAATCAGGTGCAGAGATTACTAGTTTAGGAGACAAATATGTTTGCATTTGCATATGCCTAAATTAGATTAGTTCTTCCAAACGTCTTACTTATTCTTACATATTCGTCTAAGTCTGCTTCTATCCTGCGACGTTATCTTTAATACCATCAAACATCCACATCTGCATATCCCAGGTCCTTGGTGAGGACTCGATAGGTAGATAAAAATGCCAAATCCAGTCTGAACATCTGGCTGACTATGCGATGATCAATGATAATGATAATGATAATGATAATGATAATGATAGAGTTGGAAGGGACCTTGGAGGTCATCTAGTCTAACCCTTGATCAGGCAGGAAACCCTATACCATTTCAGACAAATGGCTATCTAGTCTCTTCTTAAAAACTTCCAGTGTTGGAGCATTCACAGCTTCTGGAGGCATGTTGTTTCACTGTTTAATTGTCCTCACTGTCAGGAAGTTTCTTTTTAGTTCTAGGTTGCTTTTCTTGTCGGTTTATTTTTTTTTCTCCAGCTCTCCCACGTATTACTATCTGATTGGATTATATGGATTTCTTCCAATCTATCAAAAGGAAAAATTCCAATACATTGAATCTTTTCATGCAACGGGTCAACTAACAAGAAACCAAACAGCTGTTACAAAACAACTGCAGCACCTTCTACCAACAGCACCCATGAATCTGAATGAAACACTGTTGAATCAAGGTTGAATCAGAAAAGGTTTTGCACAAGTCTAGAGATGAAGATTAGCCACTTAATACAGTATATATGGAGTCACTTAATTCTACGGCAAGAAAATGAAAAGTCAAATAGAATAGAACTTTGAATGGTTACGAAACAAATGGTTATAAGTCAAGGACTAGCTGTATACACACACACACAGGCAAATATTTTATTATCAAATAGATTTCTCATTCAGCCCATTTGACTGAGCCCGAACAAGTAATGAAAGAGTTTCCTTGACAGCTCAAGGACTACAAAAACATTTTAAGAATAGAATGAAATAGAGCTGGAAGTGACCTTGGAGGTCTTCTAGTCCAGCCCCCCGCTCGAGCAGGAGATCCTATACCATCTCAGACAGGTGATTGTCTAGTCTCTTCTTAAAAACCTCCAGTGATGGAGCACCCATGATTTCTGAAGGCAAGCTGTTCCACTGGGTGATTGTCCCCACTGTCAGGAAGTTTCTCCTTAATTCCAGGTTGCTTCTCTCCTTGACCAGTTTCCAACCATTGTTTCTCATCCTTCCCTCTGGTGCTCTGGTGAACAACCTGACCCCCTCTGTCTTGTGGCAGCCCCTTAGATACTGGAACATTCCTAACAGGTCTCCCCTATTTGTTTATTTCTTTAGACTAGCCAAACCCAAGTCCCGTAG